GATTAATATGCTATAGTGCTGAATTTTGAGGTCATCAAGAATGTTGAAAAGAATGTTATACTCACCTTCCATTTGGTACATTAAATTCAATAAGTACCATGTATTTTAAGATACAAGAGACTTCACTGATAGTCAAAATGCTTTTTCTTCTCTTGGCAATTTAAATTTTAGATCACAATATACTGTGCCTAAATGGCTTTAGAGAAGAGTCAGTTTCGGAGAAATAATTCTTATGGACATATCATATTGAATAAATCCTCGTTTATAAAACTGATTTATGGCATTTCAATCCATGCTGGCAGATCTTTAAGAATTTTTTAATTGCTTTGGTTAAATTTCATGAAATGGTGTTATGCATGATGATTGTATTTTAAGATTTTCTAATGCTGCACCACAGGAAGTCTCTCATACTATACCTGCAGTTAGTTATATTCAGAGGGATAATATGTTAGATTAATGAACCATGGCTTCTGTTAAAACAGATTTAGTGCTGGTTATTCATGCCTTATCTTTTAATGTTAACTGCTGTTATCAAAGTTGGGTGTGAAGAGATAAGCAATAAATTGGCAGCTGTTAGTTTCAATTTGTTCCACTCTCCTTTATGAGTTCACCTGAAATATGCCATACCTATAACCTATATACCAACCTCTACCTGCCCTACTATGGGTTACTGTACCCAGTTCAACCTCTGTGCTTGGGTGTGTACACCCAATGCAGCTCCAGTTGTTTTTCTTCCCATCTCTGCACCTGCCCTGCAGCAGAGTAGCTTTGAGAATATATGGCACACTGCATCTACATTTGTCCTTATATAGGCCTTTGCTGGTGATGCTCTTTCTGCCTGTTCAGGTCTTTGAACTTTTAGCAATGGATAAGCCTTGCACGGCTTGTAGACCGAGACTTAAGCTCCTCCTCAAGAAGTGAGTCCTGTGCGGGCTTCCTGTTGAGTGGTTGCCTCTCTGAGTTGTCTGGGAATAACCCTGTGCTTGGGTGATTCAACACAGTCTCCTTATTTGCCTGCTTTGAGTTCTAGGTTGTGCACCACACCAGGTATCCAGCAATTATATTTGGTGCCCCAGTTGATGGAATGGCTGACCATGCTCTTCAGCTTTTGTCACCTGTGATGATGGGTGTCCAGGTTATGCTAGAAATGGCTGATGAAATGAATCTACATGTATGTTCCCTGGAAGTGATCCTAAGGATCAACTTGCTGTTATTTCACCTCTGCCTGATCTGTTTCCTCTGTTCATGAGCACTGGTGATATAATTACAGGTTGGCTTCTTTTGGTTCAGTCTCAGGCAACACAGTTTTGACCTTAAGAAATTTTCATTTCCTTGTGAGGGGGGTCCTGCAAGAAGCCCACAGTTCCACTATCTCTGACAGCTGGTATACTGGTTACCAACTACTACTGCATGCGGTATGCAAGGCCCCCCCGTCACACCCCCATCCCCCAAATGGTGCCTGCCCACCATTACAACACTAGAACAATGAATGGCAGGTGGAGGGAAGGGAGGTTTCATTGAGCACAATAGCACACATGCCATACTTGGGCAAGGAGAGGTAAAAAATAGGTAAGACATATTAAGATACTGTAGGTAAAAGAACAATGATTTAAGTAAATCACTACCATGAGAAAAGTAGAGATTAGTTCTGTTCCTAATGATGTCTCTCCTTGGCTATAATTACACTGGTTTCCACCTAATGAGCTACTCTATTTCCTCCAACCTCACAATGTCTATTTATTTTTTATCACTTAAGAGCATTGAAAATATCAGCAGATTCTAAGAATCACCCTTCAAGAAAAGGAAACTTCCAGAGGAAATAATACCTCATATTAAGGCGTCATTTTTAATTGAAGGATAAAATTAGCATTTCAGGGTGGATCTGCATCAAGGGCAATTAAATCAGTTCTGATCCAGCAAAAGTAGAACTAAAAGGACAGTGATCAGGAAGAAAAAAAAGGCAAGCAGAAATAAACCAGTGACTCCTAACACCAAGACTATATATTTAAAACATAATGACACCAGATACAATTTGTTTACACTGATGTGAAAGCTTGGATCAGTAGAAAACTTCTCTGACCATAAATAAAATTAATATCAGGAGAAAATCACATGGAGTGTAACTTAAAACATTCTTGAGCCAATAAATGTGAAACAAATACTGTATTAGGAGGAAAATGAATTAGCTGCTCTCTGAAGCTTCATGTATGTGGAAAGCAGTAATGTACATCACTCAGTGATACGGCCTCTAGCCTGTGAAGCATGCAATAACACTAAGAAATGAGCAGGAAAAAAAAAAAAAAAGGCCACAAGGAAGATAAAACAGAAACATATGGGACAAGGAAGTTAAGGAAATGGAATGAACACTACACAGTTTAACAATAGAAATGTAGGGGATCCCAAAACAAGTAACAGAAAAATGCATCTGCCTCAATATTCATAATTAAAAGAAACTTGATGAAAGAGAAATACTAATCCATTAAGAGTGTAAAGGAAGAAAGTTCAAGGTGAACACAAGGTGTAGGGTGATGAAGGTATCAAATTATTCAGATAAAGAAAAATTGGATATCAGATTGGAGGGAAGGGGTATGGAAGAAGTGAATGTGTTCAGATATCTGGGAGTAGATTTGTCAGCGGAAGAGTTCACGAAGGTCAAGGTAAACCATAAAATCGATGTAGGAAAAAAGGTGGGTGGTGCATTGAAGTATCTGTGGAGACAAAGAATGTTATCCATGGAGGCAAAGAAGGGAATGTATGAGAGAATTGTGGTACCAACACTTATATGGGATGTGAAGCATGGGTTGTAAACGTTGCAGCGAGGAGGAGACTGAAGGCAGTGGAGATGTATCTAAGGGCAATGTGTGGCATGAATATTGTGCAGAGAATTCGTAGTGTGGAAATTAGCAGTTGTGGAGTTACTAAAAGTATTTTAGAGGGTGGAGGAGGGATTGTTGAGGTGGTTTGGTCATTTAGAGAGGATGGAGCAAAATAGGATGACTTGGAGGGTGTATAAATCTGTAGTGAGCCCTTGTGGTTTAGCACTTCTTTTTGATTATAATAATAATAATAAAATCTGTAGTGGAGGGAAGGAGGGATAGGGGGTCATCCTAGGAAAGGGTGGTTTTATGTGCAAGGGGCTTGGACATACAGCAGGCATGTGTGAGCTTGTTAGATGGGAGCAAAAGGAAACAAGTGGTTCTTGGGACTCGATAAGCTGTTGGAGTGAGAGCAGGGTAATATTTTGTGAGGGGATTCAGGAAAACTGGTTAGCTGGACTTAAGTCCTAGAGGTGGGAAGCACAATGCTTGGACTCGAAAGGAAGGATTTAGGACATTTCCTGTTTGGAGTAACATCTGAACTGTTGCATCTGTATGCCTCTGCAAAGACAGTGATTATGTGTGAATGACTTTGAAAGGGTATTTTTTTGGGTCACCCAGCCTTGGTGGGTGACAGCCAGTGTGTTGAGAAAGAGTAAATAAATTAATGATGGCAAGCTTATAAAAATAATTAGATTAGTACTGTATCTTAAAATATATGTACACTTTATGTGATCATTATTATTTATTGATGAAGCATTTATAGCAAGTCTTTATACATCAGCTGCTTGCCTGATAGCTTCTTTTAATGATGTTAGTAACATAGGCATTATTACTGCAACCTAACAATAGTTTTTAATGCAAGTGCACAAACAGAGTATAGTACAGTACTCACTCTTAACACAGTGCTTACTACATCCTCAATGATCATACTATTTAATAAAAATTATTTTCCTAGTTTGTATATAAAGTACTGTATAGAGCTGCTCATCATAAATCAGTATTTCAATGTGGCTAAGGCAGTTGGATGTGTGACTGGCATGAGACTTAAAAAGTGATTTTTTGATTGAATATTGTAGACTGCACAGTGGGTTCCCTTTCTTATGAGCTCACTTCCTACATTTTTACTGAAATTTATTTTAATATCTGCTCCTCATCCCCTTGTTCACCTTAATAGCATCTCCCCAGATTCATTATCATTATTGTATTTTAGGGAAAGTGCTCAATCTATAGGGATCATGCAGCTGGGGAATGGGAGAATAAGTCCAATTCACTGGAACAACAGCCCTTCATCAACATCATGAAACATCCCTTGAGGTTACCAGATTGTTCAGTAAAGAATTCTTTGAATCTTTTATTCACTTCTTGTCATACCTCCATATCATTCTGTAGTTTAACTAATTTACCCTTACTGTCTTTTTCTGTCTTATGGGCTATACATGCAATTTTATTTTAGCCTATTCACGTGTTATTTTCGAATTGTATTTTTGTGTTTCCTTCTTATCCCTAGCATTGTCATTCCTAGCTTTTCTGCTTGGTTCCCAGCTTTCTGTTATTCCTGTCTCTGTGACATGAATCTTTAATTCTAGCCTCAATTCTACAGTTACCCCTGCTGTTATTTGGGTACTGGTGGTGAGAGTTCCAGTGGGTCATCCAAGTTTCATGCAGATAGTCCACAGAGACCTCTCCAAGTCAAGTCAGTTGCCTGACAGTGGTCACCAACTGGTGATGTAGTCTGGGTGCTGCAGCTAAATACAAGAGGAAATAGAGGCAAATGGTGACTAACTGAACTGAAAATGTATTGGTCCTTAATGGATTGAATAAAAAAAAAAGCTTAATTGTAAGCTGACTACATTCCTAGGTCATCAGGCCCTGACACAGAAATAAGTTCATTTTTGAAAACCATACCAGGTAGTTTAATGTACTGCATCAAAAATACTGTGTATGTAATATGCTTTTGTATAGATGGAGAGGAGTTACAATAGTGAATTGAGCCCCTAAATTTTTGTTTACCTTACACTTTGATTATGAAATATTTAAATTGTGGTTAAGAATACGACTGTGTACCAAGCTATTGTAACTAAAAGACATGCAAGATAGTACTGTGAAAGAATGTAAAAAAGGAAGATGATCATTGAGAATATATATGCTATTCTTTCAGAACAGCTACAAAAGAACACTCACGGCACCGACCGCAAGTCTCAGAAGTTTGAACTTGGGGATGATTCGATCTTTTTCTAAATGTGGCTGTACTCCATCCACAAAACCTCCATGCATGTGCTTCCAAGATTTCCAAACAGATCCTGAACAGACTATCTGAAGTCCATCTTCTGAAGCAAACAGATCCTGAGGGTTAAATAAAGTTATATAAGAAAAATTATTAAATCTCTTCACGTAAGATAATATAAAATATGGACAAAAATAGTCCAAAAATCAAATACAAAATGGCTTCTTGGGCTAAAGAATGTAAGTTATGATCAAACTAAAAAAATGCCTTCATGGGCTGACAGGACAAGAACCATGATGCACATATTAATAGCACTCTCAAACAAATTTTAACTTCGCCCAGTTCAAAAACTAAATTGGTGGTTTTTAAGCTAACTTGGATTCCCTGACCATGAGTATGAGCTTGTTTAGTCTATCACTTTTTTTTTTTTTTTTTTTTTTAAAGCTTATGATCAACAGTTTGGCTATTTAAGGTTTAAGAACCACATGATGTATGTTAAAGAACAATCATAGATATATTTCTTAATGTAAACTCATTATATATATATGCATAAAAAGAAATTTCCTTGGGCCTACAAACATATTTACACCACAGTTTTCAGGCTTGTTTGCTTGTATTCACTATCTGTGTCTCCTGTACCACTACCCAGCAGCAGTTAGCCATCAAACTGAGTATCAGGTTTCCCTGATATCACTTCTCCATGATGGCTATGTCTTGGTAAAATAATTTACCATGGGATTCTATTTCACAAACTGTACATATTTGGGCAAGACCAAATTCAGATTTGAATTCAGCATCCCAAAACTAAGTTAGAAATAATATATGTTTTTAAACGTGAGCTGAAGCCATTGCTGGCCAGTGTAATTTAAGTGATGCTCTTCCTTAAATCAACTCTTGCTGCCTTTCATGTTCCCAGGCTTCATGTAACCCCTACAAGCTTAGTGCATTACCATAAACGTAATAATAATATATCAGAAACTGGTGCTATTTGAATCTTTTATAGATATGTGACAAACAATCTGGCATGTATATATGTCAATAGACACTTCCTAATGGTTAGGTTAAAATTTTCCATAAAACTTTTTGATATTGTATAACTGAACTGCTGTAACATGTTCAGGCAGTGTTCTTTGATTTTTATTTTAAATTTTATTTTTTATTTTTGGTTTCTTCAAGTAGGCTTTCCATATTTTTGGACCTCATACAGGTGGGCCCTGTTTTACAGTGCTTTGCTTTATGGCATTTCACTAATGCAGAGGTTTTCAGTTACAGTGGTACCTCGGTATATGTCCTTAATCTGTTCCAGGACCTTGGACTTATACCAAACAGGACACATACCAAACAAATTTTCCCATAAGAAATATAGAAAAAATGAGTAATCTGTTCCCACGGAAAAAATCATCGTTATTGGCATGTTATACAATGATGGGGTTGTATAAAAAATTTAAACATTGCTTAATACTAAAATATGTAATTTAAACACTGCTTAATGCTAAAATACATACAAAAATACAAAAGAATTAGATGAAATAAATGCAAATTTAACCTCACTTTACTTTGCTGAAAAAGAGTCAAGTGCCTACTAGGATAGTGTTGAGAAGGAAGGAGGAAATATTATTGTTTGGAAGGAAAGTGCCCTTCTCTCTTCCCTATTTGGACCTAGTTGAAACTCACCAGTTCTAGCATGCAAGTCGTATTCCAAACAAAGGTCATATACCTCAAACTCCTCCTCTCCTTACACCTTTCTGTTCTGTATTGGACTGATGAAGCCACTGTGTGGCAAAACATTTCTTCAATAAAGATTCCCATGTGTTGCATAAGTGTCTCAATCTTCAACTTGTCGGTTTTCAAAACCATTCATCACAAAAATTTTCGCATTCAAACAGGATGCATACCAAGGTGGTCTTATTCCAAAGCGGACGTATACCAAGGTACCACTGTATACCTATTCTTCATTTATTCAGACTTTCTACAATAAATATATTCACCACTCACTATAAGTTAAGGACAAAAATATTTTAAGGTAGGTGTGTGTGTATGTACTGTATATGCATTTTTTAGGCTTAGCTTTATTGCTTACTTAATATATGATAGTGTAAAAATGTTATCGGGCTTTCATATGCATTTCAAAGTGAAATAGGGTTATGTTTCACTTCACAGCAGTAGTCCAGAACCTAACCTGCTGTATAATTGGGGCCCTCCTGTATCTGAACGAGTTTCTGCTTTGACTGAATCATATATGTATGTAGGATATCAAACGGGTTTCTATGTTGTGCGTACATGGTCTTTTATAGCCCTCCAAGAAGAGTTAGGGTCTATCCTGGTACAATATTATTATTCCAGGTTTTGGAAACATGGAGTAAACATTAGAATGTATGACCAGGATGAATGAAGAATAAAAAGGCACAATACTGTGACTGGAATATGCTATATGTTCAGTAGGTTTGTTTGTGCAGGAGGTTATGTATTTACATAGTGTGAGATTTTTTTTTTATGACCACTTATTTTTCTTTATGAAACTATTTTTGTTGTTGTTGATCCCTTATTCATCTTTTCTTTAAGTATAAATCTCTCAAATTTATTACTATATATAAATGATACAGTATTTACAACCTTCACCTTTTTAAACCCATAAGACATTCTCTTAATTCAGTAGACATTATTAATTTATATTGCTGGTCGGTCCATGGCTGTAGCCTCTGGAGAGGGCCACTACCCCTCCCCTAGAATTTTTATGCAAAAAACCAAATATGGGTATTTTTTTTATTTTTTCGACAAACCGGCCGTATCGCACCGAGGCGGGGTGGCCCAAAAAGAAAAATGAAAGTTTCTCTTTTTAAATTTAGTAATTTATACAGGAGAAGGGGTTACTAGCCCCTTGCTCCCAGCATTTTAGTCGCCTCTTACAACACGCATGGCGTACGGAGGAAGAAATCTGTTCCACTTCCCCATGGAGATAAGAGGAAATAAACAAGAACAAGAACCAGAAAGAAAATAGAAGAAAACCCAGAGGGGTGTGCATATATATGCTTGTACATATATGTGTAGCATGACCTAAGTGTAAGTAGAAGTAGCAAGATGTACCTGTAATCTTGCATATTTATGAGACAAAAGACACCAGCAATCTTACCATCATGTAAAACAATTACAGGCTTTTGTTTTACACTCACTTGGCAGGACGGTAGTACCTCCCTGGGTGGTTGCTGTCTACCAACCTATTACCTACAAATAAGGGTATTGTATATGTAAATAATAATTAGGTAATGTTCAACTTTTTTTTTTAATTCAATGGCCAAGACAGTGACCTAGTATTCACTTAATTGTCATCTTTCCAGAGGTATGTTGACATCAAGATCAAATTAGCCTCCAACTGCAACATCCCCACACCACCTATGTGAAGGTACTGCCCTTCCCAATTCCAACACTCAAGTCCAGCTAACCAGTTTTCCTGAGTCCCTTCATAAAAGTTGCCTTGCTCATACTCCAACAGCATGTCCATTAAAAATCACTTGTCTCCATTCATTCCTATCTAGCACACTCACACAAAGCCTGCTGGATACTCAAGCTCCCAAAACTCAAAGCCTTGTGTTATAATAAATTAAAGTTAGCCTACAGTATAATTTAGTGGTACAGGTTCACATCCCTTTATCCGAAACCCTTGGGGCCAGTAGTGTTTCGAATTTCAGAATTTTCCGAATTTCAGAATGAAGTTGGGGTTTAGGGCAGCACCCCATAATCAAACATTAACACTGCAGCAAAAAGTATGAATACTCACACTAAGTGGGATAAATAAAGATTACAAATACTACTACGGTTTATTTGTAGAGTAATACATATACTGATAAATGAAATAATGGGATAATTATAGACCAGGAACATGATTCTCAAGATGATTGACTGACGGCATTTTTAAAGACAGTGTCATCTGTCTTATTAACATAGGTTTCTGTCTAAGCAATCTGAGTAAATTGCCATAATCTCTTGCTCACTGATAAATGCACATTGTTCAAGGCCAGCAATTAACTGATCACACATTTTCACCATATTGTCTATGGGGACTTTTTCACCTGTGTTCACTATGTCATCATCATCATCCGCAGTAACTCTCCTTTCTGCGTTATTGATAACGTCAGATACTTCCTTTTCTTTTTCTCACTGTTACCCATAGGGGTATCTGCAGCTCTTTTTGACATTTTCACAGTGAAATTAAACAGTCACAAAATAAAAAGCAAAAACTAAATATGTATCAGAACAGAAGACATGTGTGAACACTACAAGTGCTGAGGCAACTGACGCCTGCCACTCTGGCTGTCAGTGCTGGGTCATGCCGCCACATGGTGGCATTGAAGTTATGTAGAGATGACCAACGCTCCACAATCCACGACAAAACTTTGGTTTTCGGAACTTTTCGAATTTCAGAATTTCGGATAAAGGGATGTGGACCTGTATTTGGCTATTTATGTCCATACATTAGGCTTATTCTCCATGGGGAAGTGGAATAAAATTCTTCCTCCGTAAGCCATGCGTGTTATAAGAGGTGACTAAAATGCCAGAATTAAGAGGCTAGTAACCCCTTCTCCTGTATACATTACTGAAGTTAAAAAGAGAAACTTATGTTTTGCTTTTTGGGCCACCCTGCTTCGGTTGAATATGGCCAGTTTACTGAAAGAAGATTAGGCCTATAGACCTGGGCCCTAAGTTGAAGCTAAATGACTGACAGCTTATCTGAGTGTAGCATCCCTTGCTTTTCCTGATAATTTATTCTGGCTATGGGCCTGCCAGCACTATAATACTGTACGTACTTATATTTACTGTACGTACTTATATTTACTATTAGTGCCATGCTCTTTATCAGTGGCTTTCTGTCTATTACTTAACATTTCACTAATTTTCACTTTCATCTTGCCCTTAGTTCTAACTTTCTATTTATTAATAATACAACAGTGCAGTATATTTTAATAACCCAGAATCCTCCCAAATATCACTTACTGGGTGCATATTCCTTGAGAGAGCAGAAATGTGACGACCCAGAGCGTAGCCAGCATCATAGAGTATGTGAGCACACATGGCATCTCCTTCTTCTGCTCCCTCACTGATCTTGGCAGTCAAGCTTGCAAAT